TGGAGGGCAGGGCTGTTTGATCTGCCCCACCTGGTGGCCGAATCCAGTGCCTGCAGGACACAGGTGAGCCGACACCCAGAGCTGCCACAGGCTAGGTATCTAAAAGGCATATTGCAAAAGGATCTCTGGCCCCCAGATGCCCCCTATCTGGTCCACCAAGGGCCTGAGCTTCTCAGCCCTGGCTTCTCCCCAGACTTAGACAACGCCTTATACTCTAACATCATTCACACGGTCGTGTAATTGTGTCTTCCCAATAATTTTGTCAGTATCCTGTGTTACAGGTGAAAAAAAAAATGAGGCTGAGAAAGGTTAGGTGGCTGACTCACGGCCAGCCAACTATCTGGAGGCAGAGCTGGTGTTTGTATCTAAGATTATCTGACTCCAGAGTGCTTTCCACTAAGCTCCCACATCAGAAAGTTCTTGAATACAGAGTACGGGGTGGTCAGTTTGACACCGGGAGATAATACCACGGCACGAGATGGGCTGTGCTTCCAGGGAGCTTATGGGTCAGTTACGTTACAGCCCACAGCACACTTTGGTGTCATGGGTACGGCCCAGGAAGCAGGGAAGTGAGGTATCTGGGAAAGAATAAATCACCTCTGGCTGGAAAGAGCTGGAGGACAAGTTGGAACCAGAGGTTATGGAGAGTCTAGAGCAGTGGTCTCAAAAGTAGGGCACGAGTACTCAGGGAATGTGGGGAGAAATTGAGCAGTTCTAGTTGCATTTATTTTTGTCTTGTACTTTAAATTCCTTTGAATTTAAATTCTTTCAATGTACATATATCCAGGAACATCCTATGGAAAGCACAATCAAAAAAATGTGAACATGACTAGATTAAGAAGGGAAAGCAGGCAACTGTTTGAACTCAAGATGCTACTTGGGCCAGTCACCACCTTGACCATGCCTGAGGCCAGAAGGCCATGGAGCAGGGATTACATAGGGGAGTCGTGGGCAAAACAGCTGAACAGCAGAATGCTGACCCTACTGCAGAGGCCTGGAGCAGGAGGCCAAGGCCAAGGGCATTCCAGATGATGTTGAAACTTGTGCTTGCAGATGACATGAAGACGGAGCAAGTTTCAGAGAGTGAAGCCCTAGGGAAGGAGAATGGTTTGGAAGCCCGCAGTCTTCATCCTCAGCAGGATCAGAACTTTGCCAAGGAGTGTCCGTGCACAAAAGGAGGCACATATGCACAGGTAGTGTCTGACGCAGCCCTGGGGGTGGAGAAGCCACAGGAGGCTCTGCTGGAAGGAGGCCAGTCTCCAACCACGACTGGTCCACTTGGAAGCGGCTGGTCCTATAGTTTCAGGGGTGGATGCGTGGGTGTTAAGTTCCAGCCAACAGCCTGCCAACTGTAGTCATTTGAAACTAGGAGACAGAATGTAGCAGAATTCTCCCAATTCCTTATCGTCGGCTCCTGGGAGACTGGAAACTTGTTTAGGATTCCTGCTTTATGTTCCCCAGTCTAAACACAGCATTCTTCATAAACCACCACAGTATGGTCCTGGAGCATCTGATCCGATGACAATAGATACACTCTTCCAAAAAGCCCTTCTCTGATGGTGGATAAAGTGAAGTCTCTTACAAATATCAAACATGTAGTTTTATAAACTTCATTATACCTTGTGATACATGCTTTAAAATTAGTGTATCAACATCGTAGAAGTTACACAAAAGAGAAATGGTGACTCCTGGCTCCTCGCCCCACCTGGGCGATTTTACGAGCCCTCTCTCTTTTTATAGACCAAGAAAGAGGCAGATATTGAGACGGAATATATGAAGCGGCAGTACGAAGAAGACCTTCGTAAAATCAAACATCAGACAGAAGAGGAGAAGAAACATCTCAAAGACCAGCTGGTGAAGAGACTGGAGGACTTGGTGAAGAAGCACACGGTGGAAATCAAATCAGTCCGCTCATCAGTGGAGGCTGAGAGGAAGAGGCTGCAGAAGGTGAGATCTCCTTGCAGAGATGCTGTTTGTGGACTGACGCTTGTTTGCCTTTCCTCTGCCTCCCACCTTTCCTCTTTTGTTTCTTCTTTCCTGCCTCGGACATTGACCGACCTCCTACCCTGTACAGATCTCAGCTAGTTCTTTGACCAGAGAGAGTTTAGGGTCTCTTGGAGGAGAAGGGGCACCCCTCAGCCCAAGACAATAGGGCCTAGAGTCATTAACCTGGAGTAGAATTGTGTCATATGAGCGCTTAACTTAGGGGAATTCAAATCCTCTCCTTGGCAAAAACAGAGGGAAATAACATGAAGGAAACCCTCAGGCCTGGCAGACTGCCTGGATTCAAATCCCAGCCCTGCCACCCTCTAGCTTTGTGACCACAGCAAGTTCCGGAACCTGGGCTCCTCACAGGGAGGCTGCGCGGGCCCCAGCCTCCTCATTTATGAAACAGATGGTGATACTAGCACCTCACAGGGGAGCTGCGAGGATTAAGCCAGGTGATCCGTGTGAAAAAACAAAGCGTAAGGTAGTGCCTGGGGCGGGACAGACACCATAGCCGCAGGTCATTAATTAATCAGCGGGCGGGCGGTGGGAGAGGAGGCTCTCAGCCTCTGTGTGCTGTTCCGACTTCCCACCAAAGGGGGTGCTTTCTGCTGAGAAGAGACGCAAAGCCTCAGCTCTCCTGTTTGCTGAGGAAAACAGCACAGGTATATGGATGTTTTAGGAAAAGAGTGAAATAAATCAGTATTATTGTGAGCATAGGTGGTGCTTTAATTCTTACAAGAAGGCCTCTTTCTAATTCAAGAACTTACATTAACAGCTTTCAGTTTTCACTCAAAAAGATATACACAAAAAGATAATAATCTATCACAGAGGAATGCAGTGTGTGGTTGTGAAGAGTAGTAGGTACTTAATAAATATATGTTAGAAAAATAAATGAACTCATGAAAGACCCAGACTAGTCCTGGGTCCAAGTCCTGACTCTTTCACTGGCTTTGTGACCACGGACATGTCACTTAACCTCTCTGAAACCTGATGTTGAAAATAAAGATAAATACTCGAGGGCTTGTTATGATACAGGAAAAGGGGGCGTGAGAGGATGGCTATGTCACAGGTCTCAGATGAGTCCCTGGGACACGCCCCACCAAGTGAGGGTCCTTGTCTTCGTGCAGGAAAGAAATCAAGAGTGAGCCACAGTTGTGTAAAGGTAGATTTATTCAGAGAGATGCACACTCCATAGACTGAGCATAGGCCGTCTCAGAAGGCCAGAGAGGCCACAAGGTGTGGGGGTAAGTGTTTAGTTTAAAGTAAAAGTAGATACACACTCCATAGACAGGGTGTGGTCCATCTCTCTCAGAAGGGAGAGTGACCATGAGGTGTCGGAGGTTGCTAGTTTTTATGGGCTTGGTAGCTTCATAGGCGAACAAGTGGGAGGATTACTCCAACTCTGTTGGGGAAGGGGCTGGCTTTCCCAGGAATTGAACCACCACCCACTTTTTGACCTTTTATGACAGCCTCGGAACTGCCATGGTGCCTGTGGGAGTGCCATTTGGCATGCTAATATGTTACAATGAGCATATAATGAAGCTCAAGGTCTACTGGGAGTCAAATCTCCTGCTGTCTTGGGCCTCAAGGTCTGTTGGGAGTTGACTTCCACCATCTTGGTGCTAGTTGCTGAGTCATTCCCGTAATAGCTGTGCCCTGCCCCTTCCCTCCTGTCTCAGTTATGTAAGTTAAATATGGTTTTATATGTAAACTTTTAGTTCAGTGCTCACCATGTAGGAGGAGTTTGATAAACGGTGGCTGTGACTAGTTACCATGTGCACTGGATGACATCATGTGTGATAATATTATTTAGTGCCCGCTCTACTTCATAAAGCACTGTGTTATTACAAACACATTCAGTCCTCCCAGCAATATTACAAAACGAGCGTTCACAGTCCCATTTCAGAGATGAGAAAACTGAGGCTCAGAGATTTTTATGCATCCACTCACAGGCAGTGAGCGGTGGAGTTGATATTAACACCTGCCAGCCTGACTCAGAGCCTGTGGTTTCCCATACCTGCACTGAGTGGGAAACGTTTTCCTCCCCAGGAGCAGTGACTGGCTTTTTTTGCACAAATCTAGTCCGCACACAGCTGAACCCTCTTTCTGTCCTGAGCCACAGTCAGTGGGAGGGGCATAGCTCTCCCGGAGCTACACGTTGCCCTGGTAACCTGCCAGCCAAGCCTGACTTTGAGTGTAGAAATTCCATTTCAGCTTTAATCAAGGAGCATGGATCCATTTGGGAAATGAATCATGTAGAAATAAATTAATAAATTGTTTCCACCTTTTTTGTCTCTTTTTAAAACTTACGATCATTTCTACAAACTGAGGATATAAATTATATAAATTAAGCCATGTAGATTAGAGGAAGGGAAAAACCTTAAAGAAGCCCCAAACCTGGTGTTTATGGACTGAAAATAGATACCAGTTTCCCATCTAGAGTTAAGAGTGCACTGTTTCTTGGGCCCTTGAGTGTAAGTACTTTGTGTATCCTGAATGCCACCTTAACCTGAGGAAGACATTGCAGGAAATGAGCTGGAGGTGACCCAAAAGGCCTATCTGCCTTCCTGTCCAAGGGATTAGATGATATTACCACTTAATCTTGGCAGAGCAGAGGACACACCCTGTGATTAGCACTTTCCCACATTGATTCCTAGGGAGACCGTGGAAGGGTGTACTGAGTGCCCACTGAACCGTGCCAGACACTGCTGTTTCGCTTAGGGTTCTTGTTTGTATCGCTTCTGATTCTTGGTGGCAAGCATGACATTTATGAAATATTCCTTGTCCTGAAGTCTACTTTAGTAAAAATACAGACATTATGTCATTTTTTTGGTTAGTGTTGCTGTCTAGTTTAATCCATCCTTTTGCTTTTAACCTACCTGTGTCTTTCTATTCAAAGTGCTTGTGTAGTATCACTGTCTTCCTCTTTTATTCAGTTTGAGCATCTGACTTTTGAGGGTCAGTTAGACCATTTACATTTAATGTAATTATCATTAAGTCTACCATATTGCTTGCTGTTTTTTCTATTTGTCTTTCTTTTTGCCTCTTTTTTCTGTTTATTTTTGATTAATTGAATTTTTTTTGGTATTTTCTTTTTTATCTCCCCTAATGACTTTTTAGCTGTCCTTCTTTTGGGGAGGGGGTGGTGTGCTACTGGTTGCTACAGGATTTATAACGTGCATCTTTATCATTGTCTGCCATCCAATAATATTACTTCATATATATGTGTATACACATGTATAATTACTTCACTATAGAAACCTTACAGCAACACATTTTAATGACCCCTTCCCAACTTTTGTGCAATTACTGTCATATGTTTTACTTTACACATGTTGTAAAGTCTATAGTACATTGCTTTTCTATTTCCTTGAAAAGTCAGTTATCTTTTAGAGAAAAATTTTAAATGAGAAAACTGAAGTCTTTTATATTTTCCCACTTACCATTTCTATCCTCTTTGTTTCTTTGGTAGAGTCAAGCACCCATCTTGGTATCATTTTCTTTTGGCCTGAAGAACTTCCGTTAATGTTCCTTGTAGTGTAGGTCGGCTCACGGCAAATTCTCTCAGTTTTTATGTCTGAAAACGTCTTTATTTTGCCTTCATTATTGAAGATTATTTTGCCGGATACAGAATTCTAGGTTAACACTTATTTTTCTTTCTGCACTTTAAAGATGCTGTTCAACAATTTTTTTTTTTTTGGTTTGTATTTTCTTCAAACAACAAATTGATAGTCGTTCTTACCTTTTCTCCCTTGTGCATAGTGTGGCTTTTTGTTTTCTGACTGCTTTTAAGATTTTCTCTTTAATCACTGGCTTCCACAAGTTGATTATTATATGCCATGGAGTGATTTTCTTTGTTTTTCTGCTTGGTGTTCTTTGGACATCTTGGATCTGTGGATATAGTTTTCATGCAGCTTGAAAAATTTAAGGTCATTATCTCTTCTGCCTCCCCCTTCTGATGTTGTCCTGCAAGTTACAGAGGCTATGTTCATTTATTTTAAGTCTTCTTCTCCTATGAAATATTCCTTGTCCTAAAGTCCACTTTGATAAAAATATAGACATTCTAGTGTTTTTATGGTCATGATATCTGGGTTGGACAGTTTCTATTGCTGTATTTTCAAATTTACTCACCTCCTTTTCTGTCTCATCCAATCTTTTTAAAAATCCATTTGGTACTTTTTTTTCATTTCAGGTATTATATTTTTCATTTCGGATATTATATTTTTCAGCCTGAATAATAAAATGGAATTTCTTTAGGGTTTCCCTTTTTCTCTTCTTTATGTCCCTGTTTTTCTTTAAATTCTTGAGCATATTTAAAATTTCTCTCAACATTCTCATCTGTCACTTTGGGGTCTTTTTCTATTGAATGATTTTTCTCTTGGTTATGAATTGCCTTTTCCTGTTTCTTTGCTTATTTAGTAATTTTTTGATTGAATTCTGGACATGAAGAGTATTAACTTCTTGAAAGTCTGGATTTTGCTGTTTTTTAATGAGTACTGAATTTTGCTTTGGCAAGCAGTTAAATTACTCGTTATCAGCCTCAGCTTTTCCAGACTTTTTTTTTGTTGTGATTAAATACACACAACATAAAATTTACCATTTCACAGACTTATTTTTAAACTTTAAGATGCCAGTTTAACTATACTTCAATAAAAAATAAATTAAAAATTAAAAATGATGCCAGTTAAGCCCTGCCGCTGAAACGTGGCCCTTCCTGGGGTCTAGTGCCCCATGTATTGGTTAGTTTGGGTGTTAGTGTGATTGCTAATGGTTGACCCTGAGTGAAATGTGTGGCTTTGTATGGCTTACTCTTTACACTTGCACTATGAACTTTACTATAAATAGTAATTTTATAAATGACCAAATAGTCATTTTTCTTCTTAAAAAAAGTTAACATGTTTTCCTTTAAAATGCCAGCTGAAGTCTCTGCTTGGTAATTTTCTGAGGTTGCTCATTTGTTGTTCCCAATCACAGTGGCTCCTTTCTTTCTTAAATTGCCAGTAACTGTGGACAGTCTAGATAAGAAAGCAGAAAAAGGATGGGAGTCCTGCTTTTGCCTCTTACCAACCATTGGATTTGCTCCATGTGAGGTGGACGCAGTAAAGCCCTTTTCCCTGGATACTGTCACAGCTGGGTGAGAACAGAGCTTATGAAAGTTCTCTGTGAATCCTGTGAATGACTGGCCCCAGAAGCCCCATTCCCCGTATGGGAGGCAGCAACGTATGTATGCGAAATCATCAGTCTCCTTCTTTCCCTGACGTTCTTGTCTCTGTAGTTGTCTTTTCTCTTCACCTGATTTAGGAAGAGAATGTGAAAGCTTCCTGTTGAAATCCTCAAGGTCACTTTGGAATGAGCTGGAGGTGGACGTGGTTCCTTTTAATCTGTGTTTTCCAGGTGACCCAGAACTGTGTTTCCTGACAGCAAACCACATGATTCTGCACCTAAAATGTAGCTCACCGATGCCAAAGATCACTGCTGAAATCATGTATTTCCATCTGTGGGGAATTTTTTTTCCCTTTAGGTCCATTTGTCAAGGCAACAGCTGAAGCTGTGATGGATTATAGGGACCCTAGGAAACTGGGCTGCGTGAAATTAGAAGTAGCCACTGCTTTGTGCTAAGCATCTCCCTCGCAGGGGATCTGATCGTGCTGTTACGCTGAACATGCCTTGGCAGAGTTAGCAAGTCCCTGCACCAGTAAGCACGTTAAACAGAACTTTTGTTCAGTGAAAGCTTTTGTGAATGAGGAGCCAAATAATGAAGTAAAAAAAAATTTGGAATTTTTGCTGAGGGAAAGCCCTTATTTCTGATGGTTGTTTAAGTTATCTCAGCCTGTTTTGGACAGGAGGGTGATTTATATATTGTCTTTAGGAAATGAACCCTGCAAAACAACCAGCCCTGCAAAAAGAGATCACAGACTGACTGAAGTGCTGTGTCCACATCATGTGACCCTTACAGTCTAATCACATCCTTTTTTCTTCTTTAAATGACCTACCCCAGGGACTATGCTAAGGGCCACCCCAGGGCCACTGGCCTGGCCTGGGGTTGGCCCTGTGGAAAGTGTAAAGGTGTCATCCAGATGATCAGCAGCAGCACCTCTTTAGATGCTCAAGTCAGAAGCCCAGACATCCATGACTTCTCTCTCATCCCTCACATTCAGTCGGCTATAAAGTCCACTCATTCTACAGTTGACCCTTGAACAACGTGGGAATTAACCCAAGTTATAATTTATCTTTGTCTCTCTGTATCTGCAGTTCCTCCACATCCATGGGTTCAACCAACCATGGACTGTGTAGGACTGTTGTGTTTACTATTGAAAAATATCCACGTGTCAGTGGATGTGCACAGCTCCAACCTGCATTGTTCAGGGGTCAGCCATCCTTCTTCAGTGGCCCTGGAATACCGCCACTTCTCTCTGTCCTCAGTGGTTCCACGCTCACTCGGTCACCTGCCGTTTCTTGGTGGACTGTGTGATCATCCCCCAGTTGTTCTCCCTGCCTCCTGTCTCATCATTTCATCTAATCCAATCTCCATTCCAGGGGGATCATCTGAAAACTCACATTGGCTTCAAACTCTCCAGAGGCCCCCTGTCATCTTCACAGGGGACTTCAAGCTCACTAACGTGGTTTACGAGGCTGCACGCGTCGGACTCCTGCCTGCTCCTCCTCCCTCACCCCACGCAGCTCCCTTAGTTCTTCCCTCTGGCCTTTTAGTTTGTCATTTATTCCATTCACATTGACTAAAGTAAGGATGCTGTTGAGAAGACCCAAGGAGAAATTTCCTCCTGCTTTTGACATTTCCCTGCATCTGAGAAAGTAGTTGGCCTTTTGAGTTATGGAACACTGAGAATTGTGTCAGCAGTGAGCATTCATTCCCTTTTCTTATTTGACGCTACGAAACTTAAAGCCGGAGTCTACCCTGCCCCCCACCCCCAGTATATATTCAGCTTTGTGCTGTGAATGTAGCACCTGTTTCATTTGCACTTTCTCATGTGTTTCTAATGTATGCTTTCCTATAGTAGTTGATGACTCTTGCGAGCTTCTTTGAGCCCCTTTGGGAACAAGGCAGGGTATGCCGTGCCCGTGTTTTCGAGGCTTGTGTGGTTAACGCTTCTCATCATCATTCAGGAAGTAGAAACACAGCTGGAAGACGTGAAGAAGAAATCAGAAAATGAAATAAAGCAGCTGGAAGAAGAGAAAGCGGCCCTGAGCGTGAAGCTCCAGAATTCGCTGCTTGAGGTAAGTCCCGAATGAACGCCGTGCTCAGGAGTGATGGTTCTGGGCCCTGGAAGTTTCTGATTAACTGAGATGCTGGGAAGGTTGGGAAACTGCCCTGATCTCCTGTTCAGCATCCTGAAAGAAAAAGACTTCGGCCTGGCAAGACGGCTGTCTTGGGGGTATAAATTCAGCTGTAGGTAACAGAGAACCTGATTTGTAGAGGCTAAACAGAGGCGCTTCATGTCGAACATGAAAGAGGGAGGCAGAGGCTGCTGGCGTCAGTTCTGTGGCTAAATGATATCAGGCCTGGAAAACCTGCAGCCTTCTTGGTTCCGCCTTCTCCCCACCCCAGCCCCCACCACATGTTATCGGTTTCCTGGCTCTTTTTCCTTTATCGAAAAGTCTTTTTTAATTATATTTTATGACTGCACTGGCATAAAGATGAATATAGCCAGGCTGCTTTTTTTTATTCTGATTTTGGGAGGAATGAAAACATTTTCACGGTCCCTAAAAATGTCATAGGCCCCTGGCACTGTGCCTGGGGGAAGTCAGCTCAGATTCCCCCAGGCTGTGACAAAGGCTGTCACGGCTCCAGTTGTCATGTCCAAATGTAAAGCAGGAAATGGGGAGAGGCAGTGATGGCCAGGCCTGCCCACTTCATCAGGAAAACAAAAGCATCTGAAGAGGCCCCCAGCTGACACCTGCTCCCACTGGTAATATTTGTGCCGCATGGCCAGCCTGGGAAAGCAAGGACTTAGCCATCAGGCCTCCTCGGTGGAGGCAGACAAGAGCAGGGTCGCGAATGGGTGTAGACCAGCTGAACCGAGGGGTTTGCTTCTTGGGCCTATCTGCCCAGACTGCCCAGAGACCAAGGTCAAAGTTTAAAAGAGCTGTGGGCAGTGTTACTGGGGAGAGGAACTTGCCACCAGCAGACTCTTGTTCATCCTTCAGTGCCCTTAACACTGCCCTGGACGTCCCTGGCCAGAGTTTATTGCTGTAAATTCTCTGCAGTAGTACCAACCTCACGGTAGTTGTTAAGAGGATTAAAAGACTTCACACTGTGAAATGCTTAGGTCTGTGCCATTAATGGTACTTTTATTATGTTGTATGTCTGTCTACTGAATGTTACTGTAAGTGTCAGCATCCATCTGTCTCCTCCGTAAATGACAACTCCCTGGAGGCAGGAACCACATTTTATTATCTTACCATTATCTTGCTCTCACTCCCTCCCTTCCCCTTGCCCCCTCATACCAAGCATGGTGCCCCAGGGGCATTAATTTCAGTAACGTCCGTGTTTCCTTTATGGTTATGGGTCTTGTCCTTCTCCAGGTCTGGAGCAGGGAAGCCGGCCTGTGTAACTGACAGGCTACAATTGGTCGGTTAATCATCATCATCATCATTAAGGCTTTACAATTTAATAGCACCTTTAGCCACTCTTCTCTCATATTGCATGTGTAATTCTTAAATATTATTTTTCTTCTTTACCGACTATGTAAAAAAGAAATAGGGTGGCCTTCCAGGAATGTTATGAAAGCCAATGGAACCCATGCTGCAGCTCTTGTCTAGATATATGGACGTGAATGATTTAAAGAGAATAAAGCGTGGAATATTGTAAACCTGACAGGCTCATTTTCTTCTGGAAAGACTAAGCAGCTAGCCACTTAGAAATGGCCTCTGTAGAAGCACGTCTGGAATTTGTCTAGTGGGGCACTGTCCCCAGAACTGATTGATTTAGGGGAAAGGGTTCCCAGATTAATGACCACAACCGGGAGAGAGGACTTTGTTTCATTGCTGAGCGTCTTTATTCTTGTTTTAGGTTTTAAGACTGGAAGAATTTATCCAACAGCATAAGGTATGTCCCCCGAGAGGCGATGACAGGTCCCCGGAAGTGGACTGCCAGCACTGCAGCATTTTGGACACCCAGGTAACCTCCAGCTGTCTCTGCTTTAATTAAGGCTATTTTTCTTCTCCTTTTCAGCACTTTGGTGTCCGCAGGGACACATGCTGGCATTAATGAGCTCTTTCATTTCGCCCCCAAGAGCTGCCAAAATGCCTGAAAAAAAAAATCATTACCAAATCAATCAGCAAAAACCACGAATAAAATAGAGTTCTGAGTCATTATTTGCGTGGCTTGGAAAAGAACAAGGCTTGTCAGATGAATCTTCTCTCCCTCTGTGAGAGCAGCCCGGCTGGCAGATAAAGAGGCACCGGACTGGGGTGGGGGGTCTTTGGTTCTGCCCAGCACGACGCATAACAGTAATAATAACGCCCCATTGCCGCCTCCCTCCACATCCACATCGCACCGGTGACTCTCCCGCGGGCCCTCCCTAGTGATGCCGCCCTTTCAGGGCGCGGCTCCAGGGCGGAAACTAGTTCCTGTTTGTCAGGCTTGTGCCAGGCTGTGTTATTTTCCAAGGGTGCCACAGTGAAGCACCACACCCTTGGGGCTTAAAGCACAGAAATGTATTGTCTCACAGTTTTGGAGGCTGGAAGTCCAAAATCAAAGCATCATCCGAAGCAGGGTGGGCTCCTCCTGGTGGCTCCACCCTCTCTCCAGCTTCTGGGGGTTGGTGGTCATCCTCGGCGTCCCCTGACTTGTCACCGTATCACTCCAGCCTGCCTGTGTCACCGCCTGGCCTCCCCCACAGTGCGCCTCTGGGTCTCCACACGGCCTTCTTATAGGGACACAACACTCATTGGATTTAGGACTCACTCTAATCCAGTGTGACCTCATCTTAAGTAATTACATCTGCAAAAGCCCAATTTCCAAAGAAGATCACATTCATAGGTCCTGGGGGGACTTCACCGTCTCTTCTTGGGGGCACAGTTTAACCCAAAACAAAGGCGCTCAGTTAACATTCATTGCATGATGTCAGAAACAGAAAGTTTTCCTGCGGAGTTGGTGTTTGAATGCCCAGGCAGCACCTGCACGCGGGCATCCCTGCGACCACACGGGACACCACAAGGGTGGAGGTAACGCAGAGGAAGGCTGGCAGCGCGGGACCGGTCTGTGGCTGATGGGGGTGCAGGGGTGGGGGGACAGGGATGCCAGCAAACGGTGCAAAACACCTACTTCCCCAAAGATGTTCTTGTTCAACTGGGGCTGTACAATTTAAGTTAGTTGGAGACTCAGGAGTTTTATTTTAGACTCTTAGCTGTTCTGCCAAAGCACTGTAGTGAGTCAAGAGAGGTATAAATAATAAGGCCAACTTTTCACCCCACTCCCAGTGCGTGCGAAGGGAGGGTTGCCAGACCTAGGCGGGGCTCCGTCCCCGCCAGAGACAGCTGGGGCTTCGCTGAGCCTTTTGTCCTGGTCTCTCGTGTCTCGTCTCCTTGATTCTTCCAGAGTCCCAGTTTTAGTCATTGGTTTCCAGAAAACCATTCAGCCTTGGTAATTCTAAAGGAAACTTTTTTTCTGGAAGATTCTGGTGCCCGGGTCCCAGTGAAGTGGGGGGCAGAGAAGGCGTGAAGTTTCCCTAGATCCCCTGCCTGCATGGTCTCCAAAAGAAAAAGGAGAGTCATTTGTGGTCATTATTATTCAAGTCATTTTGCCTCCACAAGTGTTTACAAGTGCTGTCACTATGCAGGGCATGGGGCTGGGAGCCGGGGTGCACGAGGCCCAGTCCTGGTCCTTGGGGAGCTCTGTTTCAAAGGGGGGAAATAAATATTTACTGACTTAATAACCCAGTGTGATCAGTGCTACACTAATGGCAGGAAGAGGCTTGTGCAGTCAGTGTGGGACAGCAAGGCCTGTGCCCAGGGAGGTGCAGGTAGCTTGCACCCAGGAGTGCCCTCTGCCTGGGTACTGGGCTGGACGTGACTTCATCGGAAGGGGTGGATGGGGTGGGGGTGGGGGGCAGTGAGCATTGTGAAAGGTCCCAGGTGGAATCCCTGGGGCCGGTGGGGAGGGAGTGGAGGCACGGCTCCGGCGGTCTCCCGGGCCTGAGAAGTGCCCCCTGCACACTCAGGGAGGCCCTGCGTGGTTTGCTGGGCAGCTGTCCCCCCACATCGCACCTGGAGGGTCAGGTGAAGCCCAGGGCGTCGGCAGGCAGATGATCACTAAGCCCTTAAACAACTGTGATGTACCCTCTGATCCGAGTTGAGGGGTCTGCTTCCATCTGACATGGAACCGGGCAGGTTGCCCGGAGACCCACTCCATGGAGAAATTCCTGGCTAAGAATCAGACTGAGACCTGCTGGAGCCCAGGATGAAGGCGCAGGGCAGTGTGACAGCTCTGGTCTCAGGGTTAGGACATGGATTCCACCCCAACTTTACCCCAGACCTGCTTGGAGACCCCAGACAACTCCAAAAACCTCTCTGAGCTCAGTGCTCTCATTACTCCTAGTGGCAGACACAGACTCTGGACCAAGAACGTAGTGCTTTGCACAGTCAGAGAATAACCCTGTGAGGCAAGTATTATTATCCTTGTTTTACAGTTAGGGAAACTGAGGCCCAAAGAGCAGCACCAAGGCCCAAAGCACGATTCTATACGGCTTCTGGTTAGTAAAGTGTCTGTGATAACCCCCGCCCTCCACACCCCAGAGACCTGTGGTAATGAATGGAAGAAAGCACACAAAGACACTTTCCAAAACTGTTAAGGAGTCTATAAATGTAAGGTGACTTTATAGTGTCCATTACAGTCCCCTGTAATCATCGCAGAAAACCCCATTGCATTACGTGTTCTATTTTAAGATGTACATGATGCTACTTTTCAAAGACTGTCAAGTGAACCTGAGAATGACTTTCAATATTTCCTTCGAGGAGATCTCCTGGGCGTGGGTGTTCCTTTAAAATGGAAACAGTCCAGAAGATGTTCACTGCCTAGAAGATGAAAGATGAAGACCTAATGAGAACACGGGTTTAAAATAACCAGCCATTTGTTGGGGAGGAGTTGGGAGGAGGCTCTTGCAGCGGATGGTTGGGGGAGAGACAGAACGACTTGTTCTTCTGGGCACACTTTAGCACTGGAGACACAGCCCTGGGCAGAACCTGAGCAAATGCCTGGAGGGAGATGCAAGAGGGTGAATTAGGGACGATTGACTCAGGATACACCCAGAGTGGCTCAGGGTTGGCGCAGGGAGGAGCTCCCTGGGACCCCAAGCAGGTGACCAGAAAAGGGGCCACTGGAGAGTCAGCTCCACTTGGAATTCAGAGAAATGAGTATTGGCGGACTTGACAGTCCTCTTTCAGCCAGCTGTTCGTTTCCACAGTTCAGTCCATTTGTGCAATATTTAGATGGCACCCTAGCTCCTTTTAAATGATGTACTTTGGCCTAAAACACCACGTACACAAGGTAGGGGGTGAAGGAGGAATATTTTTTCCGTGTAGATCATCTCTTGGTCCCCACCACTGAACCATTAGTTTGTTGAAATCAAGTACTGTATCTTATTAATCTTTATCCTTCCAGCACCTGGAGCACCTGCATATGGCAGCTGTGTGCACCTCCTTGTGCATAAACTGATACCTGACATAACGGCTGAATGCATGGAACCGAGTGTACCATTTGAGCCTGATAGTGAAAAGGTTAGATGAGAAACGCCTTCCAAAATTAGCCTCAGCCAGAGGATGATTTAGAAGAACACTAGGGTCCTTCAGTTACTTGCGGGCTAGGAGAGAGCGCATGTCCTTTTCTGAGAAGGATGCTCTGTGGGGCTGGAAACAAGTGAACAGAAACAGAGAGGATAACGGAGTTCACCTCCCTGTTGATTTGGGAAGCAGCCTTCATCTCTCAAGTTGACTTTGAGTGTCTGTTTTGCAGATCTTTCTCAGCAGCATGTTTGTACAACCTGATTTTAACTCACCCAGTTAGGCCCTGACATTGGCAGCTGGCGATTGTGCCAACACAGCACAGCCGAGTGCCGGTGCAGTCACAAGAAATGACACGGATGGGAGTGGGACAACCCGGGGTCTGGTCCTGTGCTGCTCTCCAGTGGCTGTGTGACCTGAGACAAGTCACTGGACTTCTCTGATCTTAGATCTCCATCTGGAACATGGGGACAGTGGTGCCTTTCCTGCCCTCCTCCCTGGGTCTCAGGCATCTATGAGTTAAGTGTGGAAATAGACAAGTGCCGTGTGTGGCTAGGGGCCGCTGTAGTCATCCAGTGCATCATCAGCCTTTTTAAGCATTTCCATCCTCTCCTGTTTCTGGACTCCTGCCCAGGATGCCTTTAACTGTATCAGTGGTCGATAAGGTGGCCCAGAAATTACATCCTGCACACTCTCTTTCACGGTCTGCACAGTGACTCAGAGCACATTTGAAATTCTTTTTCATCTCCATGACTGTCATGAGATTTTTGTCTATTATTCATGTTGCTGTAAGTTCCTTCTCCCTTTTGCCTTGCTCAGTCTTACCCCGTAGTTTGATGTGTCTTTTCAAAAAGCCAGCTTTCAGATGTATTGGTCAGATCTATTTTTTTTCTGTCATTAATTTTGTCTTTCATAACTCTTTCCTTCTACTTACTTTGGGTTTATTATGTTATTCTTTTTCTAACTTCTTGACTATTCTCTAATAAATACATTTAAGGCTGTAAATGTCCCTCTAAGTGTATGTCTTGATCAGTATCCCAGTGTTTTGAAGTATATCTCATTTTTTTAAACCTTCTTTCTTATTGTTTTCTAATTTTATTGCATTGTCATTAGGTAGTATGGTCTGTGCTGAGATCTGTTTGTAGCCTGCTGTGGGGTCAGTTCTTAAAAATGTTTTCTGTGTGATAGAGAAAAAGCATATATTCTCGGATTGGTTGTTAGAGTATATAGATTTGAATTCTGGTTCTGTGATGTGACCAGTATGACCTTGGGTAAGTTACAGACCCTCTCCTGCATAACTCCTCCTCAGTTTCATCATCTTTAAAATGGGATGATACCCACGTTATAGTCTTGAGGGCCTGGCACACACTAAGCATCATATAAATGTTAGCAGTGATAAGTATTCTTTTTTAGCTGTTAAGTTTAGCTCAGTAATCTTGTTCAGATCTTCCACATCCTAGCTCATTTTGTGTACCTGATTTGTGTCTCTGAGAGGTGTTTATTACAATCCCCCATTATAGTTATAAATTTGCCCATTTCTCCCTACATTCCTGAATATTTTGCCTTATGTTTTCAGTCTCTGTTGTTCGGTGCCTACAGGTCCACTATTAGAGGGTTCTAGGGAATGATTCCCTTTACCAGGATGGGGATATCCGTGTGGAACTAAGTCACTTCTTCTTGTTTACTGTGATTGCTGGTACCACTAGGATTGTTTTGGCCAACATAGCTTGTGCTTTCTATTTACCAAAATTTCCCTGTAACTTTAAATTTCCCTTTTGAAACCTGGACCTAATTAACTTTGATTATCATGTGTATATTTATGCTGTAGTATTATGTTATTCTGATTTTTGGTGGTTCTTCCACATTCACTGTGCAGTTTCCCCCCACATTATACAGAATGTGTGTTTATAACCTGTGTCTCACAAAGCTCTTCTGTTTAGACTATGATCTTTACTTCTGGACTTCATAAGAATTGGAAATCTCCAAGACACTTTAATGCCCCAAATACCTGAAAGTACAAGGCAGAGGTGGACCTTTTAGCCTCGGATCCGTGTGAAGGTTGTAGGCTGGGCAGTGGCACCATTTCTGAAAGTGCACAGCAGTGAGCCAAACTCACTGGGACCTGCAGCTAGCACGTGTCAACCAGCCGGACTTCAGTGTCCAGTTACAAACACTGAAGAGGCAGTTCAGGCAATGGAGGATGGCCATGCTGAGCGTTCTCAGTTACCGGCTGTAGGACTTTGAACACTACATCTGGGATTACTTTCACCTTCATTTATGTTCCAGGAAGGGAGAGAGAGAACACTCCTGTAATAATACAAAGCAGGAAAACTTCTGTCTGTCTGGTTTCTTTCTGTGTCCCTGGAACAGTGCCTGGCACCTAGTAAATGACCAAGAAGTATCTGTGAACAAATTATGGTACCAAAATAACTGTTGTGGGAACTTCAAGAAGAAAGAGTACAATTGCAGCAAAAGAGACTGTGAAGGCTTCTTGGAGGAAGGGACAGTTCACTAGGGCTTTGAAGCATCAGTGGGGTCTGGAGATTAAAGGATTCATCAGTTCAGAGAAACAGATAAGTAGAAATGATATGGAATATGGCATTCATTTTAGGAAATGACCTGGTGTAATTGTGGGAGCCACTTAAATACTTTATGTTCAGCTATTGCTCCTGAATCTGGTGTGGGGTTTAAAGTGGGCCTAAAGCAGGGCTGGCTGGCAGTCAGAAGGAGAGAAGGACAGACGGGGAACGAGAAAGACCAAGGATGAATGCAGCCCATGAGGCTGCACTTGAACAGTGTCAGCTTCTGAGGCCAACAAAGCTCCAACTTTGATGGTACAGGTGACCTGCGGGAGAGTCCGGCATCTTTTATCATAGAGCCAAACGTGCCCATGGCCCAGGACAAAGGAGAAGTCCAAGGACTGAGGTCTGGGGCAGGAGAGGAGGAAGCTTTAGCGGAGGAGGAAACCCACGAGAGGGGGCTGCATGCAGGAAGGAGTGATCGGAGGTTTCCAGTTCTGCAGGGAGGTCCATTCAGCTGAGGCCCAAGGAGTGACCACTGGGTTTGGCCACGTGGAGGTCATCATTGGCTTTGACATTGGTGGCCTTTAATAGACATTTGAGTACTGGGAAGGCAACCAAAGCAGTTTTTATTCCAGGTTAAGGGGGACTGGAGCCCAAGGCCCCATCCTCCAGCCTCAGCTCTGCCCTCTTCCGCTGCGAAGGGCCCCTCAGACATCTCCCAGGGTCCCTGGAACATGGTTTAAAAACCACAGATGGAACCAACCCCTTTGCTTTACAGCTGATGTGGCTCAGGTCCGGAAAAGAGACTGGCTCTAGGCCATGAAAGCGGTTAGTGGAAAAGCTAGGTTGCGATTTATTATTATAAAATGAGATTTCTCAACAAAGAAATCTGTTCCTTGCCTGTCTTATTATACTGTTTTCCTTGGACAGTGGTTGCTATACCAAGTAGAAAAATCAAAATAAGAAAGTCTTTTTCACATTTTAGACTCTGTGGAAAGGGGAAATAATAATGAACAAATTCAATTGAGAGAAAATTCCAAACCTCATTATTAATTCAGGGTTTCCATATTGTCCTACCACCACATCCCACTTCTCAATGCCTCTGGCCAGGTTCCATGTTTTCAGATCCTGTGTGATGAGACAGAGCAGTGCCACCTGTAAAATGGGTATAATAACAATACCAGTTGCTCACACGTGTGGACCAGTGACTGTTGCTGGCCCTGTCCTCTGTCCCCACACTAGCCCCAGGGTCAGGTTCCCTGACTGCACTTCATTTCTGCTATTCACTGATGGGAACCCTGGATAAGCTACTTCCTCTCTCCGTGCTCTAGTTTTGCCAGCTGTGTGACATGCTTGGCAGACTGGAAAACAGAGTCCAGGGACAAGGGCTGACACCGCTCCTAAGCCAGGCACTGTGCTCGGCATCGAGTCATCACAGGCCTCCGTCCTAGGCCTGGGAGCCGGGCACTGACACCGGATTGCTGGGGGCTCCTCTTCTCCGCTCTGTGATTTAATAAATCACAGGTTGACTCAGGGAACTGTACTGAATCTCATCTTGCACCTGTTTTGCCTTAGGATCCATGCTTGAAGTCGAATGAACCTTCTCAGACTCTGCCCAGAGGGGAGGACCATCAAGATAAGTTAGCAGCTGAAGAAGGAACCAGCAGCGATGAAGAGGAGAGGTACAGGAGGACATGCAGACTTCCGAGGGCCCCAGTGAATGAGGACTCAGACTTGGAAGGATTCATTCATTCGTTCATTCTGTCCTTAAGTATTTATCACTGACCCCTGCATGATGCTTAGTGAGGGAACAGACATGGCTTGTATGTCTTCAGCATAGCTGTGGGCTTTACATAAACTATCTTATTTAATTGTCACATCAACCCAGAGAGGCCATTTCTTAGATTAATAACCTGAGACTCAAAAAGGTTAATAAACTGCCCACAATTCAGACAGATCTGGACTGGCCCTAAAACCTCTGCTCACTCTTCTTCAACTAAGTAAGGGAGATGAAGGAGCTTTGTCACCAAGGGGAAATCGCCCACCTTATTCCCTGTATTAGTCAGCTTATGCTACTGTAACAAACATTTCCAAAATACCAGTGATTAACTAATAGGTCAGCTGTCTTTATTCTTGGCTCTGCTAAGCTTTGCTGGCCTTATATAAGGTTAGCTCCTGGCTGACAGTCAGGTGTTATTGCTCTGCCCCAAACCACGGGTAGAGTTTAAGTCCGCTCCAGATGCCTTCTCATTCTGGGTCTGAGACTGATGGATTAGCCTCTATCTAGGGCATGTTGTTGTCATGGTAAAGGGAAGAAGGTCAAAAAAGCTGATGGAATCATACAATGCCTCTTACAGCCTACACTCAGAACTGCACTCTCTCATTTCTACCCACATTCCATTGGCCAAAGTGAGTCACATGACAAAAACTAATATCCCTGGGCAGAGACTAGGCCCCCCACATGTCTTAGTCAGCCTGGGCAGCTATAACAGTACCGTGCACTGAGTGGCCTAAACTACAGAGGATGATGTCTCACAGTTCTGGAGGCTGGGAAGTCCAAGATCAAGGGGGTGGCCCTATCAGTTCCTGGTGAGAGCTCTCTTCCTGGCTTGCACGGGGCCATCCTCTTGATGTGTCCTCATGTGGAGACGAGAGAGGCGGCAGTTGGTGTTGCAGGGAGGTCCCTCCTGTGTCTCTTATAAGGGCACTGATCTCACCGTGAGGGCTCCCCCTCATGACCTAATTACCTCTCAGAGCCCTCATTTCCAGATATGATCACATTGCTGATTAGGGCTTCAACATGTGAATTTTGGGAGAAACAATTCAGTTCATAGACCACAGAAGGCAGAGGAAGGGAAGAGTGAAGATTTGCTGAACAGTTACAGTCTGTCACACCAGCTCACAAGATTCTGATACAGGAGGTCTTGGTACATCCCAGCCCCGTGTGTTTTGAGGAAGCTTCCCAGGTGACTCTGAGGCCACCACAGTTATAATCCACTGCCCCACATTAATAAGCAGCTTGTATGCGGTCCTGACAGATGACAGGGAAGCCCTGCTCCCATCTGGCAGCTCTCTAAGCAGTGGGTAGCCATAGTCCATCTGGGCTGCTTAGCAAGATTCCATAGACTGGGCGGCTTATAAACAACTGAAATTTACTTGTCACAGGAATGGAGGCTGGAAAATCCAAGGTCAAGATGATGGCAGATTCTGTGATGGATACAGGCTTACTTTCTGGTTCATAGAAGGCATCATTCACTGTATCTTCACAAGGTGGAAGGGGCAAGGGAGCTGTCTAGGGCCCCTTTTATAAAGGCATTAATCCCATTCACGAGAGCTTCACCGTCATGACCTAATCACCTTACAAAGGCCTCATTTCTTAATAATATTGGGCAATAGGCTCCAAAGTACGACTTTTGAGGGGACAGAAAGATTCAGAACATAGCATTGAGGAAGCAGAGCCTGCACCCCTAAGGCATGTCAATGGCAGGGTCAAGCACCTTACAGTGCAGGGAGCTCTCCAGCTAATAAGACTTGCACAGCTCCCTCCAGATTCTGTCTCAGGATCTATGAGGTATGTAACCACAGCAGTTAAAGGATCAGACTCTGGGGTCAGGCCTCCAGACTAAGTGCTGGTACTGTCACTTACACTGGCAGTCACAAATCCTGTTTAAAACCCATAGTTTCAAAGGGAAACAGATAATCTTTACCCTGAAAATACTGGCAGGAATTTCAGAGAGGCTTCTAAGGAGCCCAGCCTGGGTCACGTGTCCATCCCTGAGCCCATCATTCTGGCCAAGGAGATGCCTGGCTCTGATGGGCCAGGTATGTGTCAAAGGCGCTTCCCTGGGTCCACCTGGAGATGAGGGCACAGTTAGCTGCACTGGAATCTTGTGAACTAAACAGGATCACCACGGAAAGAGGAATGGCTTCCCCAGGGAGAGAATGCTGGGAAGACCAACACCAGGTGGTGGTCACAACAACAACGTCTTTTTCTCACAGGTAGCTATATTGGTAAGGGGATTCCTCAACTGTAGCAGCAGACAAGGAATTGTGGTGTCTGGAGGCTTCTTTCACAGAGGTTTTAGTTGGGGTGGAAGGGCTGAGCAGTGATGAGAAAGGAATAGAAAGAGCTAAGGTCGGAGACTGCAGGACAGAACAAATGCATTGGTTTCTTTAGGGATGGGACTTCATATTTAGTAGGTAACCCCTTGAAGGATGCTTGTCAGGGAACTTCTGGCATGGTGGCTTTAAGAGAGTGGTGGCTTTTCCTTTGGCTATTAATTTAAGGTTGTGGGGGGTAGCAGGTTAGAATCAACTTTAATGGGGGCAGGGAAGTGAAGAGAGTCAGCTGTGGCTTGCTTTGTGAGAGCTAGGATCAGATTTTTATGATAGGAGGGAGCTGGGGGCAATAAAATGCAGTCAGACAGAAATTCCCATTAGTGTTCCAGGAAATAAGGATGATGATAAAAATATATACTGAATGTTGGAGTATGACAAGCACACTTAAAGGATTAACCTATTTAATCTTCTTTAGGTGATACTGTTATTGACTTACCTACTTCATTTTAAAGATGAGGGAAATTGAGGACCAGAGAGGTTAAGTAACTTGCCCAAGGTTACACACCAGCAGATGACAGCATCCAGATGATAGTCTCTCTGGCTCCAGAAATCATACTTTTAAACACATGTCAACTTAGGCAGCTGTTCTTATGTGCAACATGAAATTCCACAGGTCTTTTACTTTTCCAAGGTCACTTTCTCTTTTAATACTCGGTAATAACTGAAACGTCCACTTCCAGCCAACACAGAGTAACTGGTACTAGAGTTTCCCTCTTTCTAGAAACAACTCTAAAACTGAACAAAGTAAATGAGACGGCTCTCTTGAGTAATGAGATGCTATGCAGAGTAGGACAGTGTTCTTCAGAAGGGAAACATGCGCTGAATCCCACGATCACCCCACATTTTCTCCTGCCTTTCTGCCTGGAGACAGTGCCAACCACATGCCGAGAATCATCCAGTGGAGGCAGGCTGGGCTGAGGAGGCAGATATCCAGGCTCAAGGCTGCTAAAGAGGCTGGCATTTGTAAGACAGGGCACCAAAAGAGAGAATCCTATGCGGGGGGAGAGAGGGCAGAAATCTATGAGAGTTTCCACAGGTCCTTGCCAAGGGCTTGAGTGAGCATGTACAAGATGAGACTCCATGAATCCTAGGAGTGGGCTGCTGCCATGGGGCTGAGAAAAATGGAGATACCAGAGGTCATGCAGTGCTGGGAGGCACTGGAGTCCCAGCTTAGCCAGAATTAAAAGGCCTTTCTAATCTCCATAGACATTTAGTAGAGACCTCAGAAAAGTCACACTTTAGGAGTAAGAAACATACCCTATAGGATAAGGACCACACCCTAGAACAAAAGACAATGTTGAAATGTACCTGCTCTAACAAAAGACAAATCCAAGCATGAAAGGATCAGAAAGAGCCTTCAGTAATTTAACTGCCTGCCATAACAAAACTTAACACTTTAGAAAGGAAGACATAACCCAGAGTCCCTACATTCTATTATCTACAATATTGAGCATTTGATGGAAACATTATGAAACAAGCAATAAAGCAGAACAATGTGACTGGTAATCAAGAAAAAAAGCCAATAGAAGCAAGCCCTAAAGTGACCTGGATAGTGGAATTTAACAGACAAGGACTTTAAAGCAATTGTAGGAGTTATGTTCAAGGACATAAAAGAAAAGATTGTTACAATTAGTGAGCAAATAGGGAATTTCAGCAGAGAAGTGAAAACCTTGAAATAGTGGAAATTCTAAAACGTAAAGTACAATAGCTAAAATGAAAACCTCGGTGAATAGGCTTAACAGCAAATTAAAGTTATGGAAGAAAAGTTAATGACTTGAAGACAGATCAGTAGAAACTGTCTTGTCCAGAGAATGAAGGGAAAAAAGATTTTTAAAAAATGTAGCGACTCTTAGTGACTTGTGGGCCTAATATGCATACATTTGGAGCCCAAGAGAAAAAAAGGGAAGAAAATGGAACAAGAAAAAATATTTGGAAAAATAATGACTGAAAATTCCCCCAGCTTGTTGTGGGACATCAATTTACATAGTCAAGAAGTTCAGTGAACTCCCCATAGAATAAATTCAAAGACAACAATGCCTAGATACATCATAGAAAATCTGCTGAAAGCAAAATATATCTCCCCCAAAATCTTAAAAAGCAGACAGCTTTTTAAAAAGAGAAATTAAATACAAGGGAGAGTTGACTTCTCATGAATACAGATGACAAGTGACTTCTCATCAGCCTTCCTGCCTCATTTTCTTCTGAAAGCCAGAACACTGTGGAGCAGTATCATTAAAGTACTAAAAGAAAAAAAAAAAACCCAAAAACTTGTCAAGTCCAAATTTAAACCTAGGGAAAATAGCCTTCAAAAATGAGAGTGAAATAAAACTTTTTCAGGTACATAAAAGCTAAGAGAATTTTTTTATCAGCCAAGATGAAATAAGATAAATGGTAATGGAATTTATTAAAGCTGAAAGGAAATAATATCAAATTTAAACTTGGATCAACAAGAGAAAATGAAGGCGCATCAGAATTGGTAGGTGTATAGTAAATGTAAAAAACTACTGTTTTTCCTTCTGTTAACTTCTTTAAAAGACATCTAATTGCTTAATAGTAATAAAAA